TCGAAGTTTCTATTCCTAAAGATGTAAGTCTTCACATAATAAAGTAATCGGAAAAGTAACGGTTACTTCTCAAAGTAATATCCAATTACGTTTGCTCTCGAGTAACCAGGTAACCTAATCGAATACTTTTTAGCCAAGAGTAATTAGTAATTGTAATCGATTACTTTTTTTTAGTAACGTGTACAAGGCTGCTTTAAATTCAACTTCAATTGAGATTCTGAGTCATTTCAGGGCACTGGGAGTAATTTTTTCCGAAAATATGTCCTGGGACAACCACATTAATTTTATAATCCCTATACTGTCACAAATAGCTGGATTGATATACCGTCATCAGTCTATTTTGCCAAAGAATGTGAAGTTACTAATCTATAATTCACTGTTTTATTCCCACTTAAATTACTGCCATTCCGTCCGGGGCTCAGCCACATTATTCGATACGGAGGAAATACTTAAAAAAAAAAAAAAAAAAAGTGTTGAGGTCTATCGGTGGCGTCCCGTTTGACTCTCATACAGCTGGTCTATTTACGGCTCTCCGCGTTATTAATATAGACAATTTATACAACTATAGACTTAGCAATACATTCAAATTGGAAAGTTACAGAAACACGCGTTTTCTTACGAATTTGGGACATCTATCCGTAAAGGAACCGGTTTACCCCACTCGTTACACAGAACATTGGGAAATGGTAGCGCGGAGGACAAATTATGGCTCTCGGAGGATTAGATATACGCTGCCTAAATTGCTCAACCAGTTTGATGCTGGTGAGTTTGATCTGATTAGGATGTCATTTAAGCAACCGTGTGTTGCGTGCGTACTTTATCCACCCGTTTTGTACTTTCGCATGATGTAGTATTTTTTTTCTCCTGTACCTCTGCGGTTGTGCCTGTGTAGGGGATCGAGGGCCTTGTCAGGCTGTATTTCACAGCTTTTTTTCCTCGACCTCCACCATCATCAATATAGATGAAAATAAACGAATTATTATTATTATTAATTTTGAAGTAAGGAGTGCCGTAGCCAAGAAAAAAGCAGCCCCCGCCATCGCCCTCACCCTTCGAAATCACGCTGACCCATGCATTTTCATCCCCCCCCCCCCCCCCCCCCACACACACACACACATACACTCCGAAAGAAATGCCCGGCTACGCCCATGCACAAGATTACGCGTACTGCTAATTAAATATGAAACAAAACGCCAGACATGAAACCGAAACCGAAACTTTATTTGGGTGACCGAAGATATCTAAAACCTGAAATAAATGCTATTAAACTAGAATAAAAAATAAATAATTGTTCATCATAGTAGAAAACTAATTTAAACATGACAGTTGCTAAAATATAATTGGAAGTTGACACAAGTCCTTCTTATCGCATTTTTGTTTTTCCACGTTTTCAAGGTGTTGCCGGTGTTGCTATGGCCGTTGCTAGAGCTCGTGTTTCGTAAACACTTCAAGCACTTCAACCGTGAGCTTTTGCCGCTTCCTCGCTTCGGTTGTACTGCTTCATACGGAGCACTGAAAAACGCGGTAAGGTCGAACTTGCAGTAATTGTTATGATCGTTATTTACTATGAACACGTACCAGTTCAAATGGTATACGGGGAGAGAATCACGGCGGCGTTAGTTGTCCGTGCACGCTTGGCATCCTCGAAGCCCCTCTCCAGAATCTCGAAGTGTTTCAGTGTGACACTTGCTTTGTAGGCTTTCAGATTTGGAAAGTATGTCCACGACGAAGAAAGAAGAAGCCGCTGCGGCAGACGATGTTGGGCCCGGTCACACCTACCTCCCGTTTGTGGTCATGGAAGACCTGTTAGACAAGCTGAAGCTCTTGCATTACGACACGGAGTTCACCACGCAGCTTCGACTGAAACCGATAAGCAGGTGGGTTAAAGTTGGCGCCTTTCGTATAAAGCCGAATATGTACTGCTTAGTTATTTATATACACACGCAGTGGCGTACCTAGGGTGGATGGCACCCATGCCAAGTAGCTTTTCGCGCCCCTGATAATAATAATGATTTTCTTTTTCTTTTTTTTTAATCTTGCGTGTTTACGAAAGCGGACTGCCTGTGTCACAGCACGTCAGTGGCGTAGCCAGAAATATTTCTTCAGGGGGGGGGAGGAGGCGAAGGCGAGGCGGAGGTTGAGGTGGCTGGGATGTTCATGACTTGGGGTGCGGAGAGGGGGAGGGGGTTCAAAAGGCGTGCATATATTATAAAATCGGTTAAATTTTTTTTTTTTTTTTGGTGGGGGGAGGGGGGGGGGGGGGGGGGGGGCTGAAGTCCCATAAGTTCCCCCCCTCCTCCCCCGGCTACGCCTCTGCAGCATGTCAACTCCATAGACTACTTCTAAATAAATACCTGCATGCAGCACTGCCCACGCTACATTATGGGGCATATTTGGCATTGGTATGGTGTGCTAAAGGAAGGGGTGGCCACGATCTGCTGTAATCCTGACTTGCCCACAGAAGAGTGTGTCAGCGTGCACCTTGCACTACAGGCCGCAGTGTTTCGTCAGCTATGGTTTCGCGGCCGTTCACAAAGGTATTTTTGTTTACTAAGGTGTCCGCATATCAATCAAAGGCGCGGCTGTGTTAGAGTGACTGTATAGGTTCTGCTTACAGAGCCAGAGTATTGCATTCCTTTTCCCTTTGCCGTCACCTCCGTATTGGTGAACAAGCGGTCACGTGCGCCGAGTTGGATCCAGCTTGATGCGGGCAGCTGATCGTGCAGTCGCCGAGTTTTAGACGGAACATGTTTCTCACTTTGCATTTGCAAAATACACATAATACACTAAAATCGAACAAACTGGTAGGTTCCTTGACCATTTAACATTATGTGTAGCCACTGGGTACAGTATAATAGTGCTGTTTTAAAATGTGAGTCATGTTTTAAAACACGTTTCCAAAGTCTGGGAAGCAGACGACAAGGAGGACTCTCGCGTTGCTCACGTCTGGAGCGCTCGCGAAGTGATATGTGACCACCACATCCGGGCACCTTGAATCAGAGAACAACATGCAGCTACGGCTTGCAGAGGGACAACATTTTCGTAGGTTGCTATGTTCTACCGGGGGCATGCAAAGAAACGGGAGACAAATGACGGGGCGACGACGTACACATGTTGTGTCACCGCACAATATCTTCTCTGCTCCGCACGCCACAGCACACCACCTCACAGCCACACCATCCACACCTCCGGGTCTCCTGCAGAAGTGACGGTGGCTTGCCCAGTGTGGCCTTATATCCAATATGGCAGCCCTGGGACCACTATTGTGATACTTTGCTCTGCAAGTGGAGCATGTACTGTTACTCTAGGCTGCATTATCTGGTCCTGACCTGCTTTCCTCACGGGCCTCGCAGGATCTCGTCAGTCTGCGACAGATTCGTCACTAGAGGCGCCGGCTTCCAGCAATGCGGCTATTTAGGGGTGATCCAAGAGCGTGTCTTATTTCGATCACCGCACAAGAGTAGTCGAGGCTAAAAAACGCCCTTGCGCTTCCGTGCCTGAGAAACCTGCTCTTTTGATTCAAACATACATGAGAACAACGCTTGATGCCAGTGATGCGTCCTGCTGCAGTGTACTACTGCAGCCTGCTGACACCACGCTATGGCAGATGTCCTCGAAAAACACTAATCAGATACCACCAGATGTGCGCCGTGTGGACCGTGCTCTAGGCAGGCAGGCTGTGAACCACGTTAGAATCACAGAAAAACCTTTGCTGAGCGCTCCCAATGGCAAAACGAGGCACTTCATTGGCAACAGCATCTCTCATAGGGAGCCATTCTGTGGACAGGTCAGGATAACAGTAGGTCGTGGAAGTGGCATGGTTTCAATTTCAGTTGCCGCGTTGACAAAGAAATGCTTCTGAGCACTGCATGAAAATAAAGCCGGTGCTCGCTTAATGCACCCATTCATCTTCTTGAGATGAATTGAAACTTTTGAAACACGGACCTCCAGCGGCCGTAAAGACCTTACTGTATTATAAATTTAAGGAAAGTCACATATTCGAATATGCATGCACAGTATTCATGACGGGATGCCGTGAAACGAGGTAAAAAAAATTTAAACTGACACAGTGACCATTGCAGGGGTGGAACGGCTGCGCCATTTGCGCCATTTTGCGGCAGACGCATTTGTCTGCGCCATTTTTGCACCATTTTGCGGAAACTGCGCCACAGTCAATACTTTGCGCCATTGTGCTCCAAATTGCACAACGCGCGCCACAATAATTCTATTTTGTCTTCGTTTCGGTTTCTATCGACTCGATTCGCAACAATGAGCGCATTTAGCTTGGTCGGCCTTGCAATTTTTCGTTCCGTTTAGTTCTTCTGTGTATCCCGAGTCGGAAGCATGCGAAAAAACTCGGGGGTCGGATTCCAGGCGCTACATCACCTGCGAATGGATTGTTATTGTTCAACCATAAGCGGTTAAGCAAGTCGGCCAAGGTGAGGTTGAGTTATTAAGCGTCAGATAGCCTGAGGGTCTGCGGCCCGGGTTCCGGACGTCAGCCAGTTGAAAACACATTAGCGAAAGATTCCTTTTAGTGCTTCATCATTAGAAGTTAGAACCGCATTCCTGCAAGATAAATCGTGATTTGATTGAACTGAAACGCTGTCCTATCCGAATCCTTGCCGGCCAGCAGCTCTCACGCGAGCGGTAGATCTGCTTGGCGTACTTTAATCTTGCTCTGGCTCATCGCTTCGAATATGATAACTCCGTTAATCATAGTCTGATGCTTCGATATTGAGTCGTAAAATAGGATAAACACAAAGTTTGTTGCCCTGTTCCCCCGCGCAACTGCACGTCCGTTGCTTACGCACGTCTCGTGGTTTGCACATATAATTACTATGTCGAGCATGTGTGGGTCGTGCTATAAACAGTGCTGGTTTGTATTTTGAGCAGCTGAAAGCCACTCAGAAAATATCAAGGACACTATCTTCAGAAACATATGGTAGTTGCTTTTTGGTTCTCACTAAGGCCAAGTTTTTGCACCTGTTACACTGTTATCCCATCTACATAGGTTCCTAACCACTCATGCTCATCTGTGCATGCTGCTAAGCACAATTGAAATTGCTCCCATGCTCATCTAAGACACAAGCTGAAGTGCAATGAAAACTGATTTGAGCTGCTTCTAGCCTGCTCCAGAATGTAGTTTTAGCTGCTCCCAGCCTGCTCCAAAACAGCAGTTTCAGCTGCTCCCGTGGCTGCTCCCAAGTACATTTCATGAGTTACACCCCTGCATTTGGATTCCAAGATGCTTTGCGCAGCACTGCGCCGCTAGGATCGCTTCGATTTTGGGAGGAGTCTTTTGCATTGTGCTGAACGCACACTTATGGAAGATACCAAACAAGAAGGGCTCGTGTCAAACCACCCCCCAATCCTGGCGCTCATTTTCTGTGGCAAAAAAAAAAAAAATATACGTTTAATAACTTTTTTTGGTTCTAAATAACTTTGAACAGCACAAAAGAGAAGAACAAAGTGGGCATGTCGGGAAAATGCTTAGATAAAGTTATACATTGAAGAGGCAGAAGAGCGCTGTTTAGGTTTCTTACATTTTATTTGCCGCCTTTGATCATTCACAGAACAAATATAAAAAAAAAAATATATATATATTATAGCACTGAAGGAAAACTGCAACAAAGCTTTTCTTACAACGCTATCATAGTCGGTTTGTTCAGTTTCTTCCCTTTCTACACTCACCAGAGTGAGATCTTAGTCTGCCCTGGCCGATGGAAGCTCCAAATACGAAAAATATAAATTTCAACTTGCTGAAAATTTGGGCACGAGGAGATTGCTCTGCACTAGGTGCTCGGGCAGACAGCTTTGGGTCCGCAGTGCCCTTTGTCCGATCCTAATTCAGGACTTCCTCCTTGGGTACTCCTTGGTGCCGTCCCCCCCACCCCCCTCCCCTTTTCATGTGATACCCAAGCATGTGCCCCCCCCCCCCCCCCCTCCCCCACCCCACCCCGAGCCACACCCTAGGTATGCCACTGTACACACCACCTTTGTCACCATCTCGTTATTGAGCCACCTCGGTGGCTCTGAGCTGAGGCGAGAGCGCCGGCTAACGGATCCCCATGTGGCGGGTTCAAATCCTGGCCGAGGTGCCCGCAATCTGACGGAGGCTTATTGCGGAGAAGGCGCCGTGTAACCGAGCTTTCGGTTGCACGTCAAATCCCCAGGTGGTCCAAATTAATCCTCAGTCCTCCGCTGGGGCGTGCCAGATGCCCGTCGTTGGTTTGGCACGTAAAACCCCCAAATTTGACTTTTTTTGACCATCTTGTTATTGTAATGGGTGCATCAAGCAACCTATTATTCAGGCAGCCACCAGTGTTTTCTATGCTGTAAAACAAACTGGAAAGATTGGTGCCTGTGCATAGCCACCAAACGCTCACACTTTCACCGAATGTGTAAATAGACGGTGAATATCATCTTGTGAAGTAGTTCTCGTCTTGTGGAGAAATAAGACCAACAAGCTAGCCAAAGTCAACCGCAGACGTGTTAGAGGCTAGCAGTGAATGGAACCTGTGGCGCCATCTCCCGATGGGTGCTTCAAGCAGAGGACCCACTCTGTTGTTTGCTTGCTGCTTCTTTTGGGAGATGGCACCACAGGTTACCCGCACCTAGGGTGCCAGTATGTCTCTGTCTCAGGGTGAAGTGAAGCACTGAATAAGCCAGCGCATGACATGTTGGCACACTCACTGCTTGACTTGTGTGGTAAAATGGCGTCTAAGCATTATCCATGGATATGCGCTCGAGCAAGTCACACCAGATTGCATGCATCTCAAGAGACGGAAAGAAAACGATTGAGAAGAAAAATGACTGAAATGTCACCACTCGAGCAAAAGCATGTGTGTATGAAGGCACTCTACATTCATCGATAACTTGGTCATCGGCAACAGGTTAGCCCTTGACTGTGGCAAGTTTGTTGGTCGCATTTTCACGGGAAGGGGACCACACCTTGAAATTTTGCAAGGTACCACCTAGATGCGCATTCTATGAAAGTTTTAGCTTTGTACAGCGCAAAGCAAAGGGATCGATGGCTGTTTGAAGAGACTGCATAAATTGATTTGTGTATGTTTTGAGCTGAGATTGTGTACAGAGGTAGCCAAAGAGGGTATAAAAATTTCACTGAACAAGCGTACTTGGGTAAAAAATTTGAAATCAAGAACTTGAAATAGCTACCTACGGCGTCTGTCTGCTAAGAAAAGGCCTCTGATTGGCACAACTGCCAACAGATGGCATCACATAAGATTGCTTCATGGTATGCTTAGCTCCCAAGGAGCGAATGAAGGTTGCACTCTGGTACGGGGAGGGCCAGAAGACGAAAGAACTGCACCGTCGCTTTCGGGTGAAGTTTTGGCGGCGACCTCTAGGCTCTCCTACAATACTGCGCTGGGTGTGGCGCCTCAATGAGGGAAACCTCTAAAACAAGCCACCGACAACAATGGTGTCATCACTGAAGCTGACAGTAAAAATTGCAGCACTCGGTGCTTTCACTGCCGTCCCTCACCTGTCGACGCAAAGAGCACGGATGACATCTGTTGGCTGTTGTGCCAATCAGACGCCTTTGGATAACGACTACAACCTACAACTTCCGTAGGTAGGGATTAGAAGATTTTTATTTCTCACTTTTTACTCGGGTAAGTTTGTTTAGTGAAAGATTTATATCCTTAAGGCACATCTCCGGCCGTCTCTGTGCAATATCTTATCTCGACACATCCAGAAACTGATTTAGTATGCCGTCTCTTCAAACAGCCATCAATCTCTTCGACTCACCCTGTATGTGCTGGTGCCGATTTTGTCTGGTTTGTTTTAGAGTAGGGAACCTGTGGCCACCCTATATTACAAATTGCTTTCAGGTGTTGGAACACTGGTGTTTTGGTCAGCTGTAAAAACAAATCGCAAAACACAAATTGCTTGAAGGTGTTGTAACACTGGTGTATTGGTCAGCTGCTAAAAGAAATCACAAAACTCATCTGATCTCCTGAACTAAGACACCACATCACAACTTTTGCAGGCATTATTTCGCGATACCAACTAATCCCGGGGAGCAGTTCTACATCTTCTCTTCCCTGACTGCGTGGCTTATCCAGAGATGTGGAATTCCATTTGAAATGCCGCAAGAGGTGAGTTGCGTTAACCGCCAGTTGAATTCTTAACTTGGGCAAAGACTGACCTGTATCTTTCAAATTATCAGGCATCCAAATTTTACGCACGTGTTTATACAGCGCAAGGTCGATCTGCCTTCGAGGTGCAGCGACACTAGTTAACACTGTAGGCGAGAAATTTAGCCAGCGCAATATGACTGCTAGCCAGGGTATTTAACATGTGTTAGCAGTATTGATACACGACAGCTCACCTGTATAGTGCTCATTCAGGTCGAAATGGGCAGGAGTAGGAGATGAAATCAGGATCCCTGGTTTGGGTTCTGCAGTGCAAGCTGTCACTCCTCATGCTCCTAGCTCTGTTGCACTAAAAGTTATCAGGCATCAATGCGAGCTCATGGCACAGCTAAGATAGTAGAGAGTCTAAATTCTGTAAATAAGTACATATCTATGTCTACATTACTGAGTAAAGCAGTTTATGCTTTTATTTTATTTCAGTCTGATGATCCAAATACCACAATATCGAACATACTGGATGTGTTAAGAAATATGGTAAGACAAAGTTGTGCCACATGATGTTTGGGATCTTCTCTGGTCACATAACTGTCATCGAGTGTACTCTTTAGGGAATTTCTATTGATTTCCCCCCAAGCAAGCTGAAGCAAGGTTGTGGAGAACAGGCAATCTTTGTGCTTGATCACCTTGCAGACACAGCTCTGAAGCGGAAACATTTTACGTGGAAAACGTGAGAGTTTTGCAGGTCTCGGATGTCTGCATATTTCCCACGTGCACTAAGCCAACTTCAGAAATCACATTTTAATTTCCCACTTTAAGCATAATTTTTCCGACTTTTAATTTCTTAGCAGCAATGCTTGACCTGGATTCTCGCACAAATGTTTCAGTATGCTTCGTGATAGGAGACACTGCACAAGTTGTTAGTTATGTGCCAAGTTTGAAAAACCTTTGACCGGCTCTTCTTTTAGCTTCCAAAGTTTAAGGTTTTATTGGTTTTGGCTTTTAGTTTGTCACTTCACATGCTTTGCCTGAAATCCTGTTTGCTCTTGGACACTGTGAGCTCATCACAGGAAGCAGGCTTAAAACCAGATGTATATGGCACAACATAGTCAGGTTCTCAGACTCTAGTCCTTCAAGAAAGTTATTCTGCCTTGCCTGTACTTTTAGTCATTTATCCTTCATCTTTGATATACACACACTGTTTACAAGAAAGTTAGATCCATACCACTGCCTGGTATTTTGTTCTCATTGCTTCTATTCGTCGTCGTACGTCGTCCCCCTGCCTTGCTTATTTTTGTGTCTTGTGTGTGTACCTTACTGCAGAACAAGGTGAGCAAAGCTCGGAGAGCATTTCAGATGTATGGTAGCGCATCTTTTTTTTCTGTCTGGGACCCAAAGAAAGTTTTCGGAATATAAGTAAGCCTCGTCTCTCAACACTGCCCCTCTATACAGCTTGCAAGTTCTTCTACTCCTTGCACACCTCATGCTTTTGTTTATCTGCCAAATGCGCCCATATGCTTTTGTTTGCCCCTGACCTCCACCAATAACGGCACCTGCATGGCTGCCTCTTCATTGCGCGTTCTCCTGCTTAATCTCTGTTTCCTTTTGTTTGGTGTTTCCATCTTTCTGTTTTGATGCGCGAGAGACAAAAGTGTGAACTCCTACATAGCCTTCATAAGCATACACATTGTCAGGCTCCTGCCGCCGGAGGAACAGTCGGAAGAGGACACGGTAATTGACGATGCCGCTGAGGTGACCTTGGAGAAGATTGAAGAAGAGATGCTGGAGGTGAGCATTCGTTACTCCGGGCCACGACTGTTACGTTGTGATGACTGCCTACACGCTTCCTACAAGCAAGGTGGGAGGGGAGCAAAGGCTCCTTAAGATCTTCCTGCCCTTTTCAGGAAGATGCCGGGGAGGACGATGACGAAGACGGCCCCATTTTGGACCTGGATGGCCTTAAAACTCTTTCGACAAGTCGCCTGGTAAGGGAATAAACCATGTATGTTCGTTTGTGTATAAACAGACAAGTTCGTATAGTACAGTGAAACCCGTTTAGAATGAACCCACGTACAGCGAATTATTGTCAATATCGAAAATGTAAATAAAAATGCATGTAAAAAGTACTTTTTATAACGAACAACACATTGGCTATATCAAATTGTTCCCCCGGGGAAGGCTTTCAAAAACGCGCAAACAATCGTCTTCTAACCTGTCCCTTCCCTCCCCCACTCCCCCAAGAAAAGTAGGAAAGAAAGAAAATTCAAAAAGCTCAAGCTGCGAACAAAATTGAACGAAGAGAAGCGATTCAGAAGGGGAGAAAGCAAAAAAAACCCAAAAAACTGCATGCACGCACAGGAAAGAACAAAACAAAAAAAACTTTTCATCCCAAAGCGGTTGCCCACGAAGAGAAGCAGTTCAAAAGGAAAGATAAACTAAAAAAAAATATGCATGCATGCAAAAAAAAAAAAAATATTCTAGTGCGTTATTAGAAGGCGGAAGCGAAGAGATCAGTAAGAAAGGGAAGCTCTCGCCTTCCAAGAAACGCATCATGGAAGTTCGTTGAAAATGATTTTTGCTATATCGAACTACCGTATTTGCACGATTGTAAGTCGAGTCGATTGTAAGTCGACCCCCCCACATTGCACATAAAAAAAATACAGATCAAGTATCTGTTTCGAAAGCCGAGCCTCCAACACGCGATTGATGTCTTCTGGCGTCCTTTGGCTGCGCATGCACGCGCGAGGTGCATGAGATGCCCTGGCGTTATCAAAACTGGGAAGTTCACGATGGAGGCGGGAGAACTGAAGCTGCTCACTGTCGTTCTCACTCCTTCTGCGACTATGACTTGTCCGCAGTGGTGATGTCAGTCCTGTCCTAATCACTGCCACATTCTCAAAGCACGTCGTCCGCGTCGTCCAACGAAATCTTGCACTTCGCAAATGACAGGGTCAACCGCATCTTCTGCGCTTGTTCGGCGATCGCGTTGGACGTCATGGGTAGGGACCGATTGCACATTTTCGTGCTGTACGTTGCAAGCCAGACCTCCAACTCCAGAAGGCATTCCCACCTATCCAGACTTTGTCCTACGGAAGCCTCTTCGTTTGCCATCACAGTTTAAGATTCCGCGCCACTGCAGACTCCACTGGAGCATCACCCACTATGACGGGTCGAACTTGTGTCCAAAAGCGGAGTTGTTGGTTGCTTCTGAGTGAAGAATGGCCATAAACGAGCACCGAAATCCTAAACTGCCCGTATCATGCGTGTCAATACAAAATGATTGTAGCTAGCGCTTCAGCATGATCTCGACTCTCGATCAAACGATGTGCGACCGTGAATCGCGCGAAAAACTGCGAAGAGAAGCCGCGGGGTGAGTGAGCCCAGTACCTTGTGAGCCGTAAGGCTGTTCCAGCGGCCTCGGGAGTGGCTCTTACAAGAAGTGCCGTTTCCCCCCCCCCCCACCCCCCACCCCAGGAGTCGGGCACGCCATGCGCTGTTCACCGCCGTATATTCGGGTTAATTTGCGAATCGCTATCAATAATACTCGTTCGCGCAAATAGAAAAACAATTGATTTGTAAAATAAGTGCACAGAATAGTGCAATACTAGAGGTACAGCCGGCTGAACTTGTAACAAGCTGAAGTGTTGGTGATATCGTGATTGTTTCGTTTTTGCCACTGGTGGAATGCTTTGGATCGATTATAAGTCGACCCCCCCACTTCAGATTTTCAAAAATTGAAAAAAGGGTAGACCTACATTCGTGTTAATACGGTACTTGCTATATCGAACTGATCGTAACGTTTCCTGCTGTTCGTTATAAACGGGTTTGACTTTATAAAGGCCCGTTCGCACTCTTGCAACCGAGTACGACCGAGAGAGATGAGACTTGTTAAAACCTCTTAAAATTTCTTAGGACGAGAGAACACACTGGCACACTGGCACCATGTAGTATGCGGTGACCCTGGAACTGCATTTTACAAGATTGAAGGTTTTGAGACATTTCCGAGGTCAAATGTACGCAATATGTATAAGAAAGGCTCGTTTATAACGCTGGCAAAAGTGTTTCGAGCCAAGAAAGAAAGAAGAATGCGCGAGAGAAATAGAAAATATCATATGCCGTACCGCCAAGTTTACACCGCTACCCAATTGATGGCTCCAGTGTGTGTTCTTGTTGTAAGAGGTTTCAAGGAACCCAGTTTAAAGAGGTCGCAAGAGTGAACGGGCCTTAACTATTCACTTACACTGGTGCCAGAAAAGCCAATGTTTGATAGGAAGTTGCATCAGCATTGTAGGTTTGGTATTTTGACGTCTGTTTAGTTCTATATATTCTAAATTACCTAGTTTTTCCTAAGGACCTAATTTTCACAGATTGCCTACGATTTGCAAGAAATAGGTCCTTGCAAACTATTTGGGCAAAATGTCAACACTTTAGAAGCAACATTGAGATGTCCTGCTTCCTTGTTTGCAAATATCTAACAATGGGAAAGCATGCATGCAAAGGTTCTCGCATGATTATTACAGATGTTCTATTGATAACATGCTGTAAAATGCTGGGCAAGCGCCCACTCAAAATTTAGAGATAATCGCAAAAAAATGGGAGATGGGTACTTGTCCGGTCATCAGTTTTACATATCAATGTACTGTGCGTATTTTCTCAGATCTTGCAAATTTGGGTATGGGCGCTTAGTGTGGTATGGGCGGATTCGCAGTATTTTACGGTAAGTGTATAAGGTGTTTAAAAAAAAAAATATGTGATAAGCCGGAATTTACGTTCACCCCAAGCAGTTGATTAAACATTCTTGTTCTTTCAATTCGCAAAAACTATAACCCGCAAATAACTCAAAATTTTGAGCTTTGGCCCGATACGCGAAAATTCTGACCCGAGAGGATTAAGTCAATTACAGTACATTGCTGCTCTGCCTAGACATCTTCAGTTCTTGCTTCGACAAAACATGCTGCTGTCATCTGGACACCAGATTACCAACAAGTTTCACAATATTAGTGTAGCATGGTTGATTTTCATAAAGGACTAAGAATCTTAAGGATATAAGATATTAGACAAATATCTTATGTTCGATGGCAAAGTTTGAAGCATGTCAACCCAAGATGATTATATGTATCTGGAGGTAATTAAATTGTGGTGCTGATTAGCTATGAGATCCACATATGGTAGAACCTTCTCAACATTCTTGACAGTCTAAGTGCCATAGCCTCTTAAAAAGAAAAAAGTGGGTGAGTGCTCTTTGTCAGCCAGGATGACAGGCCTGCTGCCTTATTCAGGATGCCAAGGATTTCGTAGAGAACCTTGGTGCTTGACACTTCTGCCCAGCTAAGAATGCTGTGGTGGCACTGTGTCCTTTCTAGTTGGATTTGGCAATAAGGACACATCATCCTTGTTATAGTCAGATGGAAGCAGTTGAAAACAGGAAAAGGATTGAGCACTGAGAGCACTAATAGTAGTTTTTATTATTTCTTTTCTGCTTTGATACATCTGTATCGTTTAAATTGGGACACAAAGATTTTGTTTATTGAAAGTGACAGCTAATTTATGCCACACTCGTAAGAATGTCATCCTTGAAAATTCAACAACCACTTGAAAAGCTTTTTTTTTTTCTTTCTTGAAATGCGCAAAATTTATGTGAAGGGAAACTGAGATGAACAGGAATGTGTGCTTTACGGACTAGGTTTGAGCCCTGCATTGCGGCCACCTTTACATTGGTTTTTCGTGCGAAATATGACCAACTTCAGATAAACACCTTTTGGAAACGATAGACCCCCAGATATACTCCGAATTTCAGCCGAAATTGGCTTTTTTTCGATTTCTGGAATGGCTCATTTTGAAAAAAGAAACTGCTCACTTCTCTGTTTCTCTTTTTTAGAGTTCTGGAAACTTTGTCAAGCCAGAAGAAATCATGAAGTCATCCATTGATGGTGCTGAGTGGAAGCTGGAGGTTGAAAGAGTTCTGCCTCAGCTCAAGGTGACCATCCAGCCAGATGCTAAGGTACAGTAGCTACATTGGAAGACATATTTTGCTTCTTTCTTTTCTACTAGATCCTGAAGCAAATACACTTCAGGGGCTGGTTATACTTCCGCTCAGTTTAATTAGCAAGGCACCTGATAGCACAAAAAAAGTGAAAGGTTGTACTGGTTCGACGAATTGGAGCATGATGGTAAGTCACAGGAATGAAAGGAAAGCGTCATAAAGGACGAAGGTGGGATGTTTTGTCCTGTCTTGATCCTTTATGTTGCTTTCCTGTTGTCCCTGTTTTATGATCTTACTGTATTCTAAAGGACATAGGATATTGATGTCAGTGATAATCTCCAGACATGTCAGACTGAATACAGTAATCTTTGTATCTGTCATAATATCTGGGAAAATTCCTGAAGTTGCACAGCCTAGAATGCATCACAAGTAATCAAAAAAGGGCTTGCTTCCCAAACCACTTGTAAGAAGGGCAGTTGAAATGCCTCAGCAAAAGACTTGTGGTAGACTAGAGGCTTTTGTTAGCAGCTGAAATCTGAGTCAGACGACACCTGCACTGTAGTAAGCCCTCGTCAGAGTGTGAGCTGCATGCTTGTTATTTTTGCTGGTCGGACACTCTTTATTTTGGTAAATCTTACCGATCACAGAAGCTTGCTTTTGCTCAGTGGTGCCTCCTTCCTACAGCCTCACCTAGGCAATTTGACGGGAATGCACCATTTCCATAGATCTTTTAAAAGTGCTTGCTTGCCTGCCTAGCTACAATTATCAGGTGCAGGATAAGGTGGCTGGTAAATGACTTCTCAAGGAGCATCAAATGAGCAGAAATAACACATAAAATGTTTCGTTCGTTGCCTCTGTGCACTTTCTGCAACTACTGTTGGAAGAATTAATTCACTCAAACCTACTGTAATATTCCGAGAGAAGACCCATCCCCAAAAGTTAGCCCGCCCTGATTTTCGGCATGATTTTCTATTATCCTAATGGTTGTAGTTAAACCCAATTTTGCACTTCAAAGGTTAGCCCACCCTGTATTTTCTTCTACTATGCTCTCAGTTTTAGGTGGGCTATCTCTCGGAATATTACTGTATATATATTCATTACGTAAGCTCACTGAGCATGTTTCAGTGATGGGTGTTCACCATACCCTACATTCTAGCAGAGATACACCCTTGCAAAGAGTTCATAGCTCCAATCTCTTTTGGTTTCATTTACCTTAAAGGGGCCCCGCAAGGACTTTTTACTGTTTTTTAATTTGCACCGAACCTGAGCGCACTGAACGTAGTAACTTAGTGAAACTTTTCTTTTCGCGAAATTCGCTTTATTTTAAAAGTTATAGGCAATTTAGAATTACAAAAACAAGCAAAAAATAACCTCCTTCATGACGTCGTAGGTCCTGGATTGAGTGGCCGTGAACTAGAGGAGGAATAGTGAGCTCATCGAGCGCTCACGGCCGCCGCACTCCGTGTCGACGGCGCCAGAGGGCGTTACTAAAGCATATTCTGGATAGGCTGTATGCAGCGGGCAGCCAAAGCGGCTTTCATTGCGTTTGCTGCGCGATTAAACACTAATTCGGCATGACACTTCATTGGCCACAAACGACAGCAAACACGGGGTAAAGATCAGCTAAGAATAGGAGCCACTTCGCACTGCCATACCGCGAAACGGCCAAACCGCAAGACAAAACCTCTCGCCGAAGGCCTCCGGAACGCTCGGAGCCAGTCGGATCCTCCTGTCCAGACGACTGCAGCGCCACCGCGTACATCCGGGATTTTTCCGTGTCGGCACCTTATCCCACTACTCCTTTCTAGTATGCGCCGCCTTTTCCACCGCTTGGCGGCGGGTATGTTGACGGGTCATTTCTTGTTTCCGTACTTTACAAACTGCATTTCTTTCTTTTTTTCATCTATAATAGTGAACAAAAACTACTTTTATAAATAATTGAAACGGTTCGCGCCACTTATATTTTGTATTTCGACCAAAAAGAAGTTTTTAGTGGCTCTGACCAGTAGTAAGCCCAGGACCAAAGACGTCACATTTTGCACGCTTTCGGTACCGCGGGTCGCCCTCGTCGGTGGAGGAGGTTTCCGTGTCGTCCGGTTAAAATATGGCGCACTGATATTTAGCTACTCTTTCCTTGCCCGCTGGCTTGCCCGAACCCCAAGAGACGTGGAAACCGCATAAAAGGTAGACGCTTAAATATGATTGCAGGGCCCCTCTAAAGGGCCCCTGAAAAGAGAAAAACAGTTTTTTTAAACAGGTTGGTAGGGACACTCGTGTCAAAAAATAAATTTTATGCGAAAGAAAAAATTTTTAGAGCAATATTGACGGCGAGAGATTTATTTGAAATTCTGCGTGCAAATATGACGTTACGGTTATTTGCTCAACAAGATGGTAATTCACTCTTTCCACCTCAACTTGAAGGCGAAGCCGATCCACCTCTTCTCTATGCTCCCGAAATGCCGAGATAGAAAACAAATGAAAAGGAGGTGACTACCGACTAAATCGCGTCTCGTGCTGTCAATTGATGATCTAAAATATTTGTTTTTTCTCATAAAACTAATTTTTTGACACGCGTGTCCCAACTAGATTGTTTAAAAAAATCTTTTTTTTTTCTTTTCAGGGGCCCTTTAATACAGTAAAGTTTCTGAACCCGAACAATTGTTCCGTACAAGGGGTGTTTGATTCAGTCATTGTATATGCTTAGTGCTTAACTGCATGTTAATCGCCATAGCTTAGAAAATTAGCTGAGAATTAGGACAACATACCTTGGGGTGGTGCAGTTCATTCTTTGTACTGCTGCACATTGCATGACACAGCTAATGCAAGCACGATACCTTTGCGTCAGACTTGCCACTACTTACAATCGTGTACTTCAAAACCTCTTAAAATCTCTTATAATGAGAAAACATGCTGGCGCCATCTATGGGGTAGCCGTGGAAAACATCTCCATATATTTCCTACTTTTTCATGCATCATTCTTTTGGCTTGAACACTTTTTGAAATTTGACCATGATAACCATTTCTCATAAATAGGATGTACATTTGATCTTGCAGATGCTGCAAAATCTTCGCAGTTGTGAAATGCAGTTCCAGAGTCACTTCATAGATGGCGCCAGCATGCCAGTGTGTTCTCTTATCGTAAGAGATCACAAGAACTCGGTTGTAAGCAAAGGCAAGTGTGTGAACGGGCCTTTAGAACGGCGTTCACGGACAGTTCAGGTCGCACTTGAAAGATGAAGAAGTGAGGCTCACATTGTGTGGGCTCATAAAACAGTTTGAATCCTGCTGCTATCCGTACTAATTGTACGGATAGCGCTGTGGGTATTGCATAAATAAATAAATAAATATTGTCTGGCTCCTACATTCTGACGTCCATCGACCCACTCGCGTAGTCTTTCGACTCAGTTGTATGAGTCAATAGGTTTTAATAGGACTTCGGAATCGGCGGTTACATGAGGCATGTCGGAACGGTGACCCGACGCCTTCTTGAGTGAGGGAGAAGTGATGGCGATGTCAGTGGTGCTTGCTACTAAGCACGAGCTATCTTCACATCTCCCCTTTTCACTAAAAGTCCAGTTTGACCACTGGCTTGACAGTCCAGCTGACCCAAGTCACTGTGATGCCATTTTGGCGGCTTGGCACTAAAGGTGCTATGTATCTTTGTGATGGTGGCTGCATCTCTTGAGCTTCCTGGCTCGGTTCAGTGATGCTTGTTGTAGCATCCTCACAGTTGGTAGTGAGCTGCACTTTGGTAGGCCTGATCCTTGAAGTGCTTTTTCTAATCATGCCGGGTGTGTCTGGAGCTCGTACGATCTTGGGGCTTTATACTTGCTGATAACTGAGCCTGATATACACTTCCTTAGACTTTCCTAAACATGCACACTGTCACCTACATTTATGGCCGGTGCAACTGTTGTGCCCTTGTCTGCATGAAGTTCTGCTTCATGCATGCTTCTTTCATTTTGCTTTTGACCCTTTGGATAGTTCTCGGCTTCAGTAGATCACTCTACGTCAGCAATGTTCTGTTTTTTAGTCTTCCATAGAGACGTCGTGCAGGTAAGCCAACATCTCCGTCGCTTGGCACATTTCTTAGGTTTAACATTGCTATGTAGACGTCGCTACCATCCAAGGCACACCGCTTGAGTGTGTTCTTTACAGTTTGTGCTGCCTGCTCAGCGAGGCCGGTGGACCTGGGGTACAATGGGCTTGACGTTCGTAGTTGAAACTGCCACCCTTTTTCGAAGGTGTGGAATGCCTGTGCTGTGAAGCAGGTTCCGTTGTCTGACTCTACAACTCGTGGTATGCCATGAGCTGCAAACCAGCATTTCATTCCGTCCCTTGCTTCTGCTGCCGTGCTGTTCTGAAGTTCAGCAAAGTCTATGTAGCCGGAGTAGCTATCCAGAATGACAATCGGGGGTTTTCCTTTGTAGTCAAGCAAGTCCACAGCTACTCGTTCTCAGGGCAAGTTGGGGATTTCTTTCGGGACGAGTGGCTGCTTCGGCGGTCGCTTGTTTGACGATTCACAGACGCTGCATGCCTCGACATGACCTCAGATGTCGTTCAACATTTCTGGTTGGTATACCGTTTCTCGTGCACGTTTGAGGCTGCTATTGATCCCAAGGTGTCCAGGGCGTGCCGCTTGTATAACTCTGTGTTTCCACGTCTTTGTAATGACTATGCGGTCACCACGAAACAGCAAGCCTTCGTAAGCTGATACCTCGTCACGCACTGGCGAGAAGAGTTTTTGTGTTTCCGTCATTCTTGTTGTTGGAGGTCATCCATTCTTTACTGCCTGCATTACGCTTTGCAGTGCTTCATCCTGTTCAATTGATGTTTCGAGTCCTCTGGAAGTTTCTTTTGACATTGGCAAGATGGCTAGTACCTCCAAGTCCTCGGTACATGTGTTCGCGCTTTCATCAGTTTCACAGTCACGGCTTAGGAGGTCTGCAGTGTGAAGATCTTTCCCTCTCTTGTATACAATCTTGGGCGCATAGTGTTGTATGTCAAAGAGGAGTCTC